AATGTGTGAATACCATCGGAAGTTGAGTTTCCAATTAAATCCACCCCAAGTCATATCTGAAGCAGACGTGTATTCAAATGTATCATCACTTATCACATCAATTATAGGACATGCTATTCGTGTTCTGTATTTTGTAACAATAAATGTGATAAAAAATGCAATAAACTAAATATTTTTTAGATAGTATTTTCAATTAATAAAGAATTGATACCTGTCCTCAACAATTCTGGAGAGGAGTGGTTCGAGCCATCCTTTAGTGCACTCGCAGTGAGCGTCTAAAAACGTGAGGACATCTCCTTTGGCCACTTTAGCGCCTATAAGTCTGGCCCGTATTAGACCCGAGCGTTTGCCCGTTCGCAACACTTTCACACTAACCGGTAGTGTCGCCACATATTCCTCTAATTGTTTACCTAAAAAATCTTTTTTTACGGAAAAAATAACATTTTTAATTTAACATTTATTAAAATTATAAGTAAAACCTCTTTCACTTGAATCGTCGACTAAAATAATTTCCTTGAGAAGAGGTGGCGGAGAGGTTTGTATTATACTATGAACTGAAAAAAAACAACTTTTACTTATAAATTATATAATAAAATAATGTAGAATTAATTTGTTCTATTGGTAACAATACCTGTCCGTAATAATGTACTCCAGGCCTCGTTATGAAATACTATAATTACTGAAGTGGTCGGAAGTAACTTTGGGTAGGTTTTATTTTTACATCTATGTTAAATTTGGATTCAATAGACCAATTAAAAGCAAATTTATCAAAATGATGAAAATCATTAGAACAATACAAACCCCTCTAATCTAACGTCTGGAAGAGATCTATTGTATGCAATCCTATCGCTGGCCATTAAATTAAATTTATTGATTTCAAACAATTCATTCATTTGATCCAACTCTTCGGGACCGATGTGTACTCCTTTGCCATTCTCTCCCAACCAACTCTTTGGGTTCGTTTTATTCGTTTCTATTCAATATATTATTTTAGAAATAATTTTTATTTCAAGAATATTCGCTAACATTTCTATTATGTTTAATTTCTATATTTTGCAAAATAATTAACTAGCATTAAATTATATTTACCTACAGGTGACCAACTATTAAGATCATGGTGATTATATTCGCTGGAAAACATTGATTTCAATTTCTGAAAGTCATTGTGATGTATATCTAAATGACCATTTTGTAAGTGATGGTCATTTTCATTAAGTGTATTAACGGCTTTCCTACGAAGCGATCGGTTTCTACAACTCATATCATTATTAAGCAGACAATCCATATAATAGAGGAGAACACAAATACAAAGCGCACACCAGAGAAATGAAGTGAAGATTATTATACGATAGGTATGCCATCGAATCACTATTCCTTTCATTTCATTCAATTGACTTTCTATTGATTACACGAAAACACTATTTATTTAATTACTTTCTTCTGTTAATCCAATTACGACACGAAACGTGAATTTAATCCAAAGTTTCCACTAATTTCACCATATTTTCATTCAATACTATACATATCCACGTTTCTTCAATGTTCTGAAATTAATCATCAATTTTAGTATTATATAAACATATTTTATATTAAAATATATTAATTTACAAAAGTAACACACGGG